CTGGCCCTGGCAGAGAGTTCCAATTCAGGAACTAAAGTCAGAAAAATGAGAAAATGAGAGACAGCACTGACTAGTATCACAATTTATTAAAAATCTAGAGATCCGGGGCAGCTCGGTGGCTCAGTGAATAGAGCACTGGCCCTGAAGTCAGGAGGACCCTGAGTTCAAATGTGGTCTCAGACCAAACACTTGACACTTACTAGCTGTGTGACCCTGGGCAAGTCACTTAACCCCAATTGCCTAAAAAAAAAAAAAAGAAAGAAAGAAAATCTAGAGATCCTCCAAAAGGAGAGAATAACTCCATAACAGCTGTCCATAACAGCAATAAGCAGAAACTCAAAGGAAAATAAAATTGATTTTGTAAAGTGAAGTGAGCAGAACCAGGAGAACATTGTGTACAGTAACAGCAATATTGTAAGGAGGATCAACTCTGAAAGACTTAGCTACTCTGATCAAGACAGTGATTCAAGACAATTCCAGAGGACCCATTATGAAAAATATCCACTTCCAGAAAGGAAACTGATAAATAAACTCTAAGTGCAGATTGAAGTATATTTTACTTTATTTATTTTTCTTGTTTGTGTGTGTGTATGTGTGTGTGTGTTTTGCAACATGGCTAATCTGGAAATAAGTTTTGCATGGCTTCACATGTAATCAGTATCTTATTGCTTGCCTTCTCAATAGTTGGGGGAAGGGTGGGAGGGAAGGAGGAAGAGAATTTGGAACTAAAAAAATTTTAAATGAATGGCAAATTTTTTTTACATGTAATTAAATTAATTACATGTAATTTAATTTACATGTAAAAAAAAAGAAATGATGAATGAAAACTGTCCAAATATAATAAATAAGAGGGCAAAGTTAAGGTAGAAAGAATCCACTGATGATCTCATGAAAGAAACCTCAAAAGGAAAAGTTCCAGGTACGTCATAGCTAAAATTCAAGGCTTCCATTTCAAAGAAAATATTTATGAATGAAATAAATAAAAATATATTTTCAAAAACACCAGAAAGCATGAGAATAAATGGAACTTTCCTTTAAAAAAGACAGAAATGGATTTTTACAAGGACTATATGAATATCTAGAAGATATAAAAAGCTGCGGGGGGAGATTGGAAGAGTAAGTAGCTTAGAAGCAAAAATGCTAAATGTTACATAAGAAATAGATTTCCTAAAAACTATAATAAAGTAGGAATCAGTGACTCCATGAGACAGAAAGAAACATTAGAACAAAATTAAAAGATTGAAAAAATAGAAGACAGTAAAAGAGATCTAGTATCAAGGTATGTCAAGGTATCTGGTCCACAGTATGTCATAGCTAGAATCCAGAACTCCCATGTTCTCCCTCGTCCCCAAATGATACCAGCATTCAGAAAGAAAGAGTTGAAATATCTGGGAACCACAGTCAGAATCACATAAGATGTGGCAGCTTTTACTATAAGCAGGAGGAGATCTTAGAATACAATATTCCAAAAGTTGTTAGAGCCAGTCTTAAAACCAAAATTAATTTACCTTGTAAAGCTGAGGAAAATCCTGCAAGGGAAAAAAAAAGATTTTTAATGGAATAAAGGACTTTTAGGCATATTTGATATAAAGGCCAGAGCTGAGTAATAACTTTGAAATACAAGCACAAGAGTCCAGAGAAACCTGGAAAGTTAAATATATTTGATCAGATTCAAGCAGCTATATAATGATGAAGGGCTAACATTCTAATAAGGGGAGAAAAAACAAGTGTCCCTTCAGAACCTCAATGTCTTCATAGGATATTTAGGGAGTTAAATAAGAAATTGTTTATTGTTTTTTTTTTCTGAGGATTAAAAAGGAAGGTAAAAGAAATACACTAATATAAAAAGAAGGAAGAAGATAGTGGGACTTGCTCTTTCTCATAATTGGGGTATGTGAGAAGAAGATTATACTAATGTGGAGGAAAGAGTCATGGGAGAAGGCATCAGATGGATGTTACTCTTATCTGAACTGGACAGAAGAAGGTTGAACATACAATGTGGTGTAGAAATACATCAAATTCAAGAGAGAAAGAAGGTAGTATATAGAAGGGAGGGATGGTGGTTAGGCAGGAGGATGGGGGGATGGGGAAGAAAAGTAAAGAAGTAGACACTAAGATTGCCTTAGATTGCCTCTTAGACACTTGGGTAATGGCTAAATAAATGATGGTACATGAACTACTACCAAGAAGAAATTATTAAAGAGAATTTCAGAGAACAATTTCAATATGAGCTGATACAGAATGAAGTAAGCAGAACCAGGAGAACAATTTGTGCAAAGACAACAACACTGTAAGGAAAAATCACTTAGAAAAACTTAAGAATTTTTATTTAAAAAATTACAAGCCATGTCTTCAGACAACCTATGCACGTTAACCTACCTTCTGACCAAGAGGTGGTGAACATATGGTGCAGAGACATGCATTTTTTGATATGACCACTGAGTGGATTCCTTTTGTTGATTCCCTTTGCTTGTTTTAAGTTTTTTTTCTTTCTTTCTCTTTTTTTAATTGGATTGAGGAAGGGAGGAGGTTAGTAATAGTGATGCTAAAAAAAAAAAAAGATTTTTTTTAAATACAAAGAAGAGAACAGAAGTAAATTCAGAAAGAAGTATAGACAAGCAGGTCAATTTTGAAAGTAACATAGAATTTATTATATACTTTTTCTTTAAAAACAAGTGTTATGAAATGGAGATTAACAGTTTCATATAACATCCTGTTTTGTCTTCTGTTGTGTGTATGGAAATGCTCTTTATACTGTTTTGAGTTCAGCATAAATTTTTAAAATCAAGTTGATTTGTAGCTAGACTTTAGTTAAACTTTTAAAAGCCTGTGGTCTTTTAAATTTCTCATGCATGATTTTCAGGGGCATTTTGTTTTCAAATTTAGCTTATTAATAAATAATTCAAACATTTATTAAGCACCCCATAACCTTTAGCTTTGTTTTTAGCTGAAATTAAGATGGAAAGGGATTCCCCACCCCCACTTTGGTCATTATAACCAGGGGAAGCAGAGTGTCCTGATGGTCCTGATATGGTAGTGGTGGCAGTGTCTATATCATTTACTGAGCCCCTGAATTTGAGACTGGGAACAGAAAGTTGGAAACTAGGAAAAATATAAGTCTTTATGATAGGGACCTCATTTATCTTAGACTGAGACAATGACCAGCTCAAATGTGCTTTCTCCCCACAAGTTAAATTGTTGCTCCCTCTTCCCAAGTGACAAGGAACTTCTGAACATTTTTTGAGTTGGTGACCTTTTCTCTGTTGCCTTTCTTTCTTGTGATTATTTAGTCGAAGACCTGATAAAATACCTGGATCCTGAGTACATTGATCGGATTACTGTTCCTAATGCTGCCAAATTGCAGTTCATCTTAGCAGGTAAACAAGTAGAGAGTTTTCCCTACTAGGCACCACTGGCGAATCCTATATCCATCTAATTGCTGGACCACTTTAGCCTTGGAGATGTTCCCCATTCCTGAAGAGACTAGCCCAACTCAAGGTTTTATTTACTTTGAGCTAGCACTGAAAGGCCCAGCCTACTCTAGACCATCAGCCATTATGAAGTGCCTTAGAATTCCCTGTGGAGTCCTCAGGGTGAGGAGGGGCTCCAAATTCTCATGGGCAGAGAGGGTAGGTCTACTCCATGATTCTTGTTCTCATGGTAGTCGTTGTGACTAACGGAGCCAAATTCAGAGCCACATCAGAGAACAGACCTGTTGAAGTCCTGGTATGGGCTAATGAGTGTCCTAAGATCAGTCTTCCTCCCTTGGGTGTGCTCATCCAGTAGCTCCTCAGGATTTTCACCCCAAAGTTACCCTTTGTCTGCTAGGCCTCACTCAAGTGAGGAAATAGGTTTTAAGGGGAAGGGTTGACATGAACTTGGGTTTGGAGGTGGAGTAATTTGGGAGAATTACTGGGAATTGTAAAGGGTCTTATTTTTAAGTTCTTTTATCTCACAGTGTAAAGGAATGGGGAATAGCAGACTATCAACTTGATGATTGTAGGAAATCAATAAGGATTTATTTGAATACATACTGTGTGCCCAACTTTGTGTTGATTATTATAGGAGATAATAGAAAGAGAAGATATGGTCCTTAACTTTCAAGAAGTTTAATTCAGGACATCCATAAAAGGAGTATGGCACTGTTCCTGTTCCCTGCAGAATACTGACTATGAGAGGTCAGAAAAAGAGGGGCAGTCACTGTGGCCAGTCGTCTAGATAGTTTCAAGGTCCTGCTGATTCTTCCTTTGTAATATCTTTAACATGCTTCCCTTCCTTCCCATTTCCACTGCCAAAATCCTAGTCCAAGTTTAATCATCTCATACTTGAATTATTGCAGTAACCTCCTAAATAAGTCTTCTTGCTTCTAGTCTCTCTCATATCTATTCCATACTGTCCCCAGGCTGATCTTCCTAAAATGCTTCCATCATGTCACTGCTTTGCTCCGAAACCTTTAGTGGTGCTCCATTGTCTACTGATAAAGTGAGAACCACTTAGCTTGGAATTTCTGGGCCCTGCATGGTGTAGTCTCACTCTGCCAATCTCAAATTTTTTTGTATTCTTCACCTATTTAAATCCTGCCCATCCTCTTTAGGGCCCAATTCAAGACTTTCTTTCTCCTTGAAGTCTTTCCTGACTACCCTAACTTCTTCCTCTGAATTTATGTAGCACTTACATGTCTGTACTGCACAGTTAGCACTTAGTACACACTCCCTTGTACTGTTTGTGTGCATGTGTCTTTGTCTCCCAAACTAGACCTGGCGCGGCGGATAGAGTGCTAGACCTGGAGTCAGGAAGACCTGAGTTCGGATCGCCTTAAGAGCCTTACTAGCTAGCTGTGCGCTGCTGGACAAGTCACTTAACTGCTGCTTGCCTCAGTTTCCTCATCTGTAAAATGGGGATAATAATAGCATCTAACCTCCCCGGGTGGTTGTGAGAGTGAAAGGAGATAATAATTGTAAAGCACTTTGCAAGCCTTAAATGACCATATAAATGCTAGTTACTATTATATATCTTTATATTACTACAGTGCCTTGCATATAATAGGTATTAAATAAACATTTGTTGCTTGATTAGATGGATGGAGGAGAAGGTAGAACTGAACTGGATCTTGTAGGGTGGGTGAGATTTGGATTGGCAGAGGGAGACAAGAGGGCATTCTATTTAGGGGATCAGGGAAACAGCGGCCTTGGGTGGCAAGTTGTGCATCATGAGAATGTGTATAACACTAGGGGCAGGGTAGAATCTGGAGCAGGAGTTCCTAATCTTTTTGTGTGTCAAGGACCATTTTGGCAGCCTAGGGAAGCCTGTATACCCTCTCTCAGAATAATATTTTTAAATAATTGAAGGAAATATTCTTTTCGGTGAAAGGTTAGTGAAAATAAAAGACGTAATTTTTTTTCCTATCCAAGTCCATGGACCCCCAAAATCTATCCGTGTTAAGGATCCCTGATGTCAGAGCAATAGAGATCCCCCAAATCCAGTGTAGAAGAAAGGCACTAGGATTAGCTCATAGTTGACCTTGTAACCTCTGGATGTCTATTTTCTCACTACACACACACCCACACACACACACACACACACTCTCTCTCTCTCTCTCTCTCTCTCTCTCTCTCTCTCTCTCTCCCTCTCCCTCCCTCTCTCTCTCCCTCTCTCAAAAGATTATTGGGGCAGGAGGTATCAGCTTAGGCCCTGATCTTTGCTTCACTGTCTGCTTCCTTTCCTCTCAGAGGAGCAGTTTATTCTCTCCCAAGTGGCACTCCTGGAGCAGGTGGAGACCCTGGCTCCTCTCCTGGACAGCTCTCATATCAAAGGTAACTCCAAGACCCCATCCCCTGGGAAAAATCAGCTGCAATTGCTGCTTACCTCCTCAGGACAAATACAGAAATGGCCATGCTAGCTAGCTTATTGCATCCTGCCTTGTAATGTCTCTTTGGACTTTTGTCCAGGTTGGAGTGGTATAGATATGGGAAGGGTCCTGAATATGGCTCAGTCAGCATAGGTGACTCAAATTCTAGCACCTCCAACCTCCACGCTTGAGTCCCTACTATAGGCCCCTGCCACTGCCTTGATCAGTATCTAGATACAGATAGCATGTTCCCTCTTGGTTTGGGGCTGTCATTGAGAATCTGTATGTGCTTGTGATCCTTTTTGGGGTCCTTCTCTAGAGGTTCTAGGATGAGGGCTTCATATGGAACCACAGTTCTCCTTTGTTCCCTTTTTTCTCACTGAACCACTTAGATTAATCCATATTCCTTTCTTTGGATGTCAGTTTCCCTATATACAAAAAGGAGATCAGAATTCCTAAAAGCAAGCTCTGGAAGGTATTGTCCATTTCCCTATTCTTAATGAGGAAAATAGATTCCACAGTCTCCCCCTTTACTCATTGTAGGCCTTAGTGGCATTCATTGTGGAGAAATTTTTTCTCATGTAATTTGAGTTCCACTCTGTGGTGAAAGGGTCGTTTATACCTGTGTAAAGTTATCTCTTATTGTCATTAGCACTAGGTCCCAGCTGGCCCTGCAGCATTATTGCTGCCTGTCACCTAAAAGATATTGAAAACTTGAGTTTTTAATCTCCCTGGTTTCCATTCTAGCCCTTACCGCTTGGTTTGGTGGGGCCAGGGCCCTAGGGATGAGGTGGCAATCAGAAGGTTCATCCCTGCCCTCTGTCAGGCTTAGCCTCTACAGTGAGGTGTGGAGAATTCTTTCTGCATACTGACAGAGAGCAGCCTCTGCCTCTGCAGAGTCGGGTGGAGGAAGCAGGAGTGAATGACAGACCTAGGCTTCAATTGAATCCAGATATCCATCTTGTCCTTCTTTAGAAGTTTTCCCTATCTCCTCAATGCTGACTACTGGAAGTCCTTGTCTCACTGCCACAAGCTGCTGCTGATGCTCAGAATGAATTTCTGGGAGGCTTGCTTATGGACTTACTGCATATTAGTGGCCCGGTCCTGGGCTCAGGTAGCGAGCTGTTTGTCCCCTGGGCAGGCTGGACCCCACCAGGGAAGGAAAGAGAAGGATAGATCATAGTGACATGTCAACATCTCTATAAAGCCCTTTGTCCTTGCTCTGTACCCAGGCCCCAGGGGTATCCAGCCTTTGGGAAGGGTAGCAAAGCTGGCCTGGGACTCTGAAGCTTTGCTTACCTCCTTTGCACTTTCCTTTGGTGCTCCAGTAAGCCATGATCCCATGATTAGTACCAGACCTAACCTCCTTTTTCCATCCTGCCCTTCCAGGAGTGAAAGGGAGGCAGAAGGTGGCCAGGCAACTTTTTTGCCCTGGGAACCTTCAGCACTGGCTCCCCTGCCCCACCCTCCCACAGAGCCCTTCCTCCATCCACAGTTACTAGGCAATCAATAGAAACTATCGTTTGTTTAGTTTAGAGACTCAATACTTTAATCCTAGCCAAAGACCTAATAGACTATTGAGTATTCTCTAGAGGATTAAAAAAAAAAAAAAAACACAACCCATCAAATAACAGGCTTGTGCTTGTGTGATTTTCAGCTGTTCCCAAGCATGCTGCCCGGCTGCAGGCTCTGTCACAGATCCACATCCAGCAGCAGGTAGGGGTGTGGTGTCTGGATCTTGGGGGTGGGAGGCAGGGAGGGAGGAGAGTGGAGGTGGAAGGGAAAAGGCAGTCCCTTTCTCTGCATTTATGCAAACCAAAGATAGATCAGGAATATGTACCTGTCTTTCAGTCCATCTTGCCCTGGATTTTCTCTCCCTTTTCCCCAGAAATCCAAGAAGAAATCAACTTGCAGAATTTTTCAGTTGAGGAAGCATGCTTGGAGTGGTTAGTGGCTTGCCTAAAGTCACAAGAAGTCAGTAACAGAAATAAAACTAGAACTCTAGTTTCTTGACTCAATCTACCCTTCTTCTCAATGGCTGTGGGGGAAGAGGGAATGGAGGAAGATAACAGGGACAGTTTAACCCTAAGTGAGACCTACAGAGCAGGAAAACTACTGCTTCTGCTCTGAGCTTCTTGCCATGAGCTCTCTCCACCAGTGATCCAGGCCTTCATCTGCCTTGAATTCTCCTAATTCAGGTTCTGCTTTGGGGAGGTGGGAGTGGGACATAAGTGGGTGCCCCTGGGTGCATCCAACCTGTCTTCCCCTGATCTAGTTGTGGCCAAACTAACTGAAGGCTCTAAGGCATCCACCCAATCTCTGTCTCTCTCTCATCTGCCTGCCAGGGACCTGATAGTCCCCATTAGTGATTCATTAAGTCTCTTGGGTTAAGCATTAGCACAGCCTTTCTAGCCCCTTTTAAAAATGTCGCTTCCACCTCCCCACCGAAGGAGCCTCTGGGGTTGAGCAGCAGCAGCACAGTGTCGAGAGAAGAAGCAAAGAGAGCAGGAAGGCCCAGAGTTCCTGTTCTACCTTTGAGCAGTGCTAGCCTGGGAAAGTCCACTTCTGCCACCAGATAGCTTCCAGCTTCATTTTTTCATTTCAGGATCAGTGTGAGGAAGTGACTAAAGCGACCAAGGCCCTCCTTGAGGAGTACAACAAGATGGTATCCTTTCACCTCAGTGGGGTTCCCCTGCTTCTCAGCATGGCCAAGCCTAGTCTCTTGTCCCCTTGCTCCTCCCTTCATTAGGCCCTGTCCCCCTGCCTCCCACCCTTCCGCCCCCAAATCCTATGTCTCCTTGGAAGTGGCTGAGAAGGTCAGTGTCCCTCCTTGGCTTTTCTTGAGTGTCACATGTGTTTACAAATTGGGATGGCCAGGGAAAATTTCACAGAGGAATTGAGAACATTTGAATTAAGCCTTGGGTGATGAATGGAATTTCAACAACCAGAAATTGGGAAGGACATTCCAGTTTTAGGGAATGATGTAAATAAAAGTGGCAGATGGGAGAACTGAGGACATGTTCAGGGAATGGTGAATGGTCTAGCACAGTTGGAGTGGAGGTCCTTCATGGGAAATAGTGGTAGATGAGGTTGGAAAGGTTGATTGGGGTCAGAGCATAGAGAGCTTTAACCAATAAGCCAAACAGGTTGGGCTGAATCCTGTGTGCTGTGAAGAATCCTTAGAGGTTCTAGAGTAGGGGAATGATCGGGTGAAGGCAGGATTTTCAGAAGGCTAACCTGAATAGTGCTTTGCCCTTTCCAAGTCTTGTGTCTCCCTCTTGCCTGTCCAGCTGTTCATTTAAAACTCCCCTGCAAATAGATATGTGAAATGCCCATTGACTGTAGCCCCCTTGGGCACCACGGTTATTCTCATCCTTGACCCCACTTCCAAGACGATTCTCCTCTCCAAGCAGTTTGTCCAGTGGGATGAGCTACTGTCCCAGCTGGAGGCAGTGAAACAAGTCAAACCAGCAACAGAGTGAGGGGAGGCATTCATTGGTTGATTCCCCCCCAGAACATGTTCCCCACTCAGGGCCCTCCATTTCCTTGTATTTAATGTCTCAGTCACCCCCCCCCCGGTGGATGTGACCTTCCTGTGCCCCCCCAGCTTTGTCTCTTCCCCTTCCACTTGGCATAAGGATTGGCCCTGTTTTTATTAGAGTTTGGGGGAGGGGGCTTTAGGGGGTTACTATTCTTTAGTCAGCCCCAATTTGAAGTGGGAAAAGGATGCCGGACAGTCCCTGTCTTTTACTCACTATGGCTGGAAGTTCTGGGGGGATCAGAAGTCGAGGTGACTTGCAGAGATGCAGGTCTTGTCTCTGGGTTCTTTTTGTCCAGCTCTGTTGCCATTGTCTCCTTTACTCCTCCTCCCCCATAACTTACACCACATAATAAAAATCCGAACTCTCTTGTCCTTATTACTATAATAATAAAGAACTGACACAGAAAAAAAGTTGTGAATGTTTGTGATGTGGGGGATGGGGAGGATAGGGTTGGAAGAGGGATGGATGGAGTTTCTGCTCAGTCCTACTGATTCAGAGCTATCTCTTCAAGTCCTTCAACATTCAACAACAACTATTTGTTAGGCACCTATTGTGTGCGGAATCCAATAGACAACCAATACAGCCGGTACTACATTGCATAAGGGCATTAGAAAGATGCAAAGCAAAGGGCTGTGGGAAATCCAAGGGACTTCATTGCTCACCACGGGCATAAGGAAAGCCTCCCTAGATGAAGTAGCCTTTGAGTAGGACTTTAAAGGATAAGTGGGAATTCCAAAGATATATAAATGGAGGTGTAGGATTTCAGACATAGGGAATGTGAGCAAAAGCACTGAGGTGAGAGAGTGGAGAGCCTGGTATGTTAAGTCGGGGTTGGCAGAGAATAGGCAGTCTGGAATAGTCAAAGAGGAGACGATTATGAGATGCAGCCAGAAAGGTAAGGTGGTATCACATTGTGGAGGGCCTTGAATGAATGACAAATTCAGACTCTACTTGGTAGACAACTGGGGAGGCCCTGAAGGTTTTTGAGCTGAGGAATAATCTGTATAAGATATCCTGGCAGTGATACAAAAGGTGAACTTGAATTAGGATAAAGTTGATACTCTAAAGTACTATTAGATTATTGCCATATTCTAAGCAGGTGGTAATAAGGTCTAATATTATGGTAGTAGTCACTTGAATAGAGAGGTGGGCTTGGAGTTCTATGAGGGTTAAGAATGGAAGGTGGTCAAATCACTCTGATGTGAGTAGGGGGCAGCTGAGACCCTGGGCGGTCAGAGGATGCACTTACAGAATGAACCCAATCGGGAGAAGGCTGAGATGTAGGACAGGGCTGTGAGATGTTCCCGTGGAGGTGTCACTAACTGGAAATCCCTTTGGCAAGACCAATGATTTGGTTTTTGCCCTTTGACCTGAAAGCCAGAAAAGTTTATTTAGGGGAAGGTTAATTGAACTGAGAAGCATGATCCTTCTGTTTTCTCAAATTCTCTCTACTACCATTATCCACTGTAATAATGATAATAGCTAGTATTTATATAGCACCTGTTATGTGCCAGATACTATACTAAGCACTTTACAAAAACTATCTCATTGGATCCTCACAACCCTGGTATTAGGTAGGTATTATTGTTATCCCCATTTTACAGATTCAGAAACTAAGAGGTTAAGTGACTTGCCCAGGGTCACATAGTTGGGAAGTGTCTAAGGATGGATTTGAACTCAGGTCTTTATGACTCCAGGCCTAGCACTCTATCCACTGCCAAACCTAGCTACAATCTAAAGCTGGGCTGTTGCTTTTTGAGTCAGCAGTCTAGATGTATTCTTTGAGATTTAGTCAGACCTTTCTCTTCCTGAATCTTGTTTTTTTTTCCTTTTTAAGGGAGAAGCAATCATTCACTCAACCAGTATATACTGGTCACCCCCCTGTGCTGGCCCTACATAATCTCTCAATTGATCACAACCAGCACTCAAAGTTTGCAAGACATTTTGCGTACATTTTTTTCACGTGATTCTCACAGTAACCCTGCTATATAAAGGCCAGTTATTATTATTATTATTATTTTATATATTTTTTCATATACCCATTTAAGGGAAACATGTGTAGTCTCAAACGTCTTATCTGTTCAGTGTCTCCAAAGGCCAGAAATGGGAGAAGGGGAGAGGAAACCTCATTAACCTAATCAGAGCAGTGTGTGTGTGTGTGTGTGTGTGTGTGTGGAAGAAGAAATAGGATTCTTAGCCTTGGGCAACTCCTAGGCCACTCACATGTGCAATCGTCGAATAAAAAGGACAAAGGCAAATGAACAAGAGAGGAGAGAATTCTAGCTGTGATTTGCTGCATCCCCTGGTGTCCCAATCAGACAACATGCCTTTATTGACATCGTTTCTTTATTGACAGTGTGACTTTATTGACACTGGGACTGAGAAACAAAATGACTTCAACAATCCAACCACAAAAAGCGATTTCCTCTCCATAGCTTCATGCCACGTGCCTAGCAAGGTGCTGGGGACTGGGGGGAGCAAGAAAAAAGACAAAGGCACATATACTATTGGGGAGTTCAGTCTGGTTAGAGACTGAAGCTCTATTTGAGATAACCAGCTGTACCTTTTAGCGTGTGTGTGTGCGCGCGCATGAATGCGCTCACGCTTAAAGCCAGAGGAGCTGACCGTAAATGCTTATCTCACCCAGAACCTTGAATTCTCAAATCAAAATTCATTTTCACTTATTTTAATTTAGGACACACATACACTGACCAATGAAATCATGAATCCCATCCTTATCCCTGTATACTGACCTCATTTGTTCATGTTTTGATGGCAAGGAGACTGAAAAATTAACCAGCCCCGTCCTCTCCTGCTAGACTGCCCTTCTGAAATTTCCACCTTAATCAAGTCACATCCTCAGTCTAGAACCTCCAGTGTTGTCACACCACCCACAGGATACATTTAAAAATCTTTTGCCTGGCATTCAAGGCCCACCAAAGATGTCTGTAGCCCACCTTTCCAGCTTCATCTCTCACTGTCCACCTCTGTTCTAGCCAAGCTTGATTACTAACCATTCCCTGAACATATCTCATGTTTTCCTACTTGGTACTTTGTCTCCCCTCGTTTTATATGCCTAAAATGTCCGCCATCCTCATCTATCTCTGCCAGTTAAAATACTATCCATCCTTCAAATGCTACCTACTCTGTGAGGCCTCACCAGCCACCCAAGTCAGAAATTGTTTCTCCTTCCACTGATGAAAATCCCTTGTAACACATTGTATTGTGATCATTCAGGCAAATGTCTTTTCTAAGAATAAGCTTCCTGAGGACAAGGCTTACATTGCCTTATATATCTTTGCATCCCCATAGGGTCCATGTAATTCCTTTCTCCTACGCACAGTAGGGGTTGGATAATTGAGGGTACTCTGAAAGGGCAATATTGAGAGTTCAGAGGTAGGAATAAAAATGGCGTCTTCTTGGCACAGTGAGGGAACTGGCCTGGGATGAGTAGAGGAAAGTTGGGCTCTTTTCTTCTTCTTCCAGCTCAGAGGACTGTAACAGATGGAGAGGAGTATATGTTCCAGAGGGGCATCCATTACTAGCCCTGTCTGGCTCCAGGTAGATGGCTTGTCAGCTGTCTTGTGCTCCTCACTCTAATGGAATGGAATCAGCTTTTCACAGAATCACACCAAATCTCAAAACTGGAAGGCGTTTCGTCAGATTCTCTTCCCCGATTTAGGAGATTCTGAAATCACAACTTTCCACTCTTATGCCCAGCCTCTCCATCAGGAACAACCCCGGGGAACAAACCCATTGTTTGCTACTTCTGTATGGATCTGGATAGAGTGCTGGGCCCAGAATCAGAAGGACTCATCTTCCTGAGTTCAAATCTGACCTCAGACATTTACTAGCTGTGTGATCCTAGGCAAGTCACTTTAACCCTGTTTGCCTCAGATCCTCATCTGTAAAATGAGCTGGAGGGGCAGCTAGGTGGCGCAGTGGATAGAGCACTGGCCCTGAAGTCAGGAGGACCTGAGTTCAAATCCAGCCTCAGATGTATGACCCTGGGCAAGTCACTTAACCCTGACGGTCTCACCAAAAAAAAAAAAAGAAAGAAAGAAAGAAAAAAGAATAACTCATCTAGTCCTTACCCCCAGGAAGCTCCCACTCTTAAATGTTGGGAGATAAAGCCTGCCCCATCCTGAGGAAGGAAATAATCTCTGCCCTTGAGGAGCATTTAGATTAATTAGGGGGGAAGGGGAAAAACATAATATGGTCTGAGAAAGACAAATAGGAATGTTAAACTGAATTTAATAATAATAGCTAACATTTATGCAGTGCTTACTAAGCCTCAGGCACAGTGCTAAACTCTTTACAATCATTCTCATTTGATCCTCACAACAATCTTGGGAGGTAAGTACTATTATTATCTGGATTTTGCAGATGAGGAAACTGAGGCAACAGATTACATGACTTGCCTAGGGTCACACAGCTGGGAAGTGTCTCCAGGCCTGGCACTCTTATCTGCTAGCCTACATCTGTGTACCTGGCATGATTGTAGTTAAGTCAGATTAAGAGAGGCAAGCCAAAAGACTACGAGAATTAATGGAAAACTTCCTCCTCCTTGGTAGGGAAGAGTGATGTAAGTACCTCAGGACTAGGCAAGCTAAAATGACAGTGGAAATCTGGACTTTTTTTTTTTTTTTTAGGCAAGTGGGGTTAAGTGACTTGTCCAGGGTCATGCAGCTAGTAAGTGTCAAGTGTTTAGTCTGAGGCTGGATGTGAACTCAGGTCCTCCTGACTTCAGGGCCAGTGCTCTAACCACTGTGCCACCTAGCTGCCCCTGGACTTATTTTTTTAACTAATTTTTTAAGTTAATAATAGCAATCCTAATAAAAACAATCAAAATATGAAATAAAATCATGCTTTCAATTCAGTATTGTTTGCCTAAACACTTCCAATGTTACTGTGGGACATCTAGGTGATATAAAAAGATAAACAAAACAGTAACCCTCAAGGAAAATACATCCAGTTAGAGAGGTTGGGGGGCAGGGGAAGCATAAGTAAACTCAAAATATTTTAGAAGGGAAAACAGTAACTACTGGTGAAACAGGGAAAGGCTCTGTGAAGGAGCTGGTACTTTGAATTGAACCTCGAAGGTAGCCAGGGATTCTAAGAAGCAGAGGTGAGAAAGGAGAGGAAGGTGGAGGTAGAATTCTAGGCATGGGCTCAGCCAGTGCAAAGGCAGGGAGTTGGAGATGAAATGGGGTTTTTAAAATTAATTTATTTTGATTTATCAACAATCACTTCCATAAGCTTTTGAATGAGTTTTAAATTTTTCTCCCCCTCCCTCCCCACCTCTCTCCCCAAGACGGCGCACAATCTGATATAGGCTATACATATACATTCCTATTAAACATCATATTGGTGATGTTGTAAGTAAGAATTAGAACCAATAGGA